CTTGGGGCTTCCAGAGCCTTGGACGGCATCTTGGTTGGAGCCTAGAGTACTTTAGGCAGCTCGGAAGCTCTGATCACGGCACACGATAGTCACCCAACCCGGAAGCTCTGATCACGGCACACGATAGTCACCCAACCCGGAAGCTCTGATCACGGCACATGATAGTCACCCAACCCGGGAGCTGCCACCACCTGTCATCATGTCTTCCTGCCTTGGCTGTTTTACCCACTCTTTGAGGCTCTGCCACATGCTTGGTGGTGGCACTGAGTGCCTGGCACGCTTAGTCCCCCAAGACCCTGACAGATGGCAGACGATAAAGCATAGAGGAGGGTTGCGGAGGCAGGGTACCAACCCAGGAGCCTCAACTTCAGGGAAGGCCTTACCACATCTTATGAGGCTGGAAATGGCCAAAGGAGAGCACAAGGAAGGGCCTTGGTCATCTGCACAGAGGACAAGAGTGGACTCTAGATCAGGGGGGCACAGGGCCAGCAGCTGTGACCTGGCCTGGCTCTGAGGACAGGCAGTCCTCCTTCCACCCCTCTCACCAGCCCAGAGTTCTCCATACAGTTGAGCTGGTGGTTTCTGCTCCCTTGAGACCAAGGGGTGTCAGAATAGACTTTTCCAAGAGTCCGTCAACCTCAAACTTTATTCTAGAAAACACCAAACTACCTCATTGATGGAAACTGTTTTCCTAAAAAAGGATCTTGGAGATGGAGAGAGATCAGTGGTTAAGAACACTGGCTGCTCTTTCAGAAGACCTGGGTTTGGGTCCCAGCACACACATGGCAGCTAACAACCATCTGTAATTCCAGTTCCAGGAGATCCTACGCCCCCTTCTGACTTCCTCAGGCCTTGCACAACATGGGTACATTTACAGACATGCAGGCCATATACTCACACACAAAATAAAAATAATAAATAAAAATTTAAAATAAAAGTTTAAAAGGATCTTGGGTGGACAGCTTAGGAATTAACATTGATCACCAGAGGAAAATAGGTCAGAGGTTGGGGCAGGGGGTCATGGAGCCAGGAAGTATTAGTTTATGCCCTACAGAGCCCCATGGAAATATGATTCCTAATGGATTTGAGGATTAGGGGGATTCATCCCTGTGCACATTACCCACTGTGAAGTCATGAGGGGGAGACGACATAGCACAGTCACCTGCACTTGGCTCTATCCAGCTGTGGGCTGAGATGTCCCCCACTCTCTGAGGTCAGCGACCCCTGCTGAATGGACTCATCCCCTCTCTCCCCAGTCATGGATTTCCAAACTCTGTGTAGTATCCTCAGAGTCACAGCAACCCTACTCCCTCCTTTTGACTCTGCGTCTCATTACAAAGCAGCACAGGCATAGTGAGTGCTTCCCAGATGGCCGGGGTGGACACCAGTGAGTTTCCTTCTAGTCTACCTTCCTTCCTTCCTTGGACTGTAGAGTCGATCATATATGATGTGCAACAGCCCTCAGCTGTTTCTACATGAAACTGGTTTTCTTAAACATTTTTTTATTAACATTAAAAAGTCATGCCTGCGTGGTGGTACACACCTTTAATCCCAGCACTCGGAAGGCAGAGACAGGTGGATCTCTGTGAGTTCAAAGCCAGCCTGGTCTACATAGTGAGTTCCAGGACAGCTGGGGCTACGGAGAGACCCTGTCTCAAAAAGACCGAAAAAAAAAAAAAAAGTCATCACATTCATCATTAACTATAAAACGCCTCCCACATCTGCAAGTTTCAAGAGACTGTGGACTTTCCCACGTTCTTATTTGCTGTGGAGTTCTAGGACCTAGAACAGTGCCATCATATAGTAGGAACTTAGAAAACATTTTCAGGATGAAGGCATGATAGCAGTGTCCATCGCTCCCCACTGTGGTTGCAGATCTCCTCTCTGCTGCTTCAGTGATGCCCAGGTAGATAGCTTGTGGCCACAGGCTGCCCACTCCTGGGCTAGGAGAAGCAAGTGTCACATTCCACGTGAGTCAGTCAGACACCAAGCTGTTTCTGGCTCTGTTACATCCTCTCCTCGACCCTGGAAGTGTGCCTGTCCTTCCCGGGACCTCGCTGTCCTGTGTGGGGGTGGGTATATCCGGAGCATCCTCAGGTCCCTTCCAGCTGCTAATGCAGCTGCCATGGGATCAGAGCATGGCTGAGTCAGGCTCCCAGGCCTCCACCTGTTAGGACCTGAATTCATACAGTGCAATCCCAACACCTCAGGGTGCGGCTGTATGTGGAAATGGGGTCTTGGCAGAGGTCATCGAGATAAAGTGAGGTCACTCAGGTAGACCTCATCCAAACAGCATGGTGTCCTTAGAAGAGGAAGAAATCACAACACAGACACACTGGAGAAGGCACTGTCTACAGGCCAAGGAGAGAGAAGCCAGTCTACTGACACCTTGATCTCTGCCATTTGGGTTCCAGTGTCGTCCAAAAATAATAAATTTTTCCTATAGAGCCCCTTGGTCTGTAGCACTTAGTTACAGAAGCAAATTCATACATGTGCATGTATGCACAGGCACACACACACACACACACACTCCTACTAAGCTGAGGGACTCCTCCCTACCAAGCCTATAGCCACCTCTGAGGACATCTAAGCTCAGAGAGTGCATAGACCTTGCTCAAGGACCCAATGCCTATTGGTGGCAGAGCTTACACTGGGCTCCCCATGTCCATCCCCAGCTCAAGTGCTTTCCCAGTCCCCCTACCCCATCGTAACAACATGGGCTGAGGTGTGATCAAGCGGCTCCAAACACCATCTACAGGTGTCACCTGCGTGGGCCAATGCTGCACACTACAGGCATTCCTTTCATAAAGCTAGAGAAACTGAGGCACAGAGAAGCACAGGCTAGCATGCTGGATTCAGATCAAGACCTGTCTGCCATCTTCCCAGGGTACTCTATAAGCTTTTCCCTGGCTACCCCAGGTCAGCAAGCAACCACAGCCAATGTGGCAACCACAAGCTTCGATGCCACACCTGAGCCAGTGTGGGGCACCCTATGCTGTCAGATCCCAGCTGTACCCACAGTCCTCAGTGCACATGGGAAGAGCCTCTTGCCTAGGAAGCTGAATAGGTTCCCATGAGCTCTGATCATCTGCCCACCTGGGCACAGTCAAGGCCCCCATCACCTCACGACATGAAATTTGGTACCATGATCCAAAATGATGCCTGTTCTGGGGAAGAACAGGGAGTATTGCCCTGTTGACAATGGAAGCTCATGACCTGCCAGATGTATGCAGCAGTCACACACTAGACTCCATGTGCCAGGTACAAGGGACCACACTGTCTACTCTCCCCCACTGTGGATGTGGGTGAATCACTGCTGTGCATGCAGCAGACTGACCAGAGCTAGGACACGAGCAACAAGTGGGTGGGACAACACTTGTTCTCATTTTCTGAAAGGAACTCTGGGGGCTGTGGTGGGCTTGGTCACCCAGTAGTGACAATGACCATCTGCACTCCTGAAGGCATGTTGTGTGCAGGCTCCTCGCTCTGAGGGGAGTTGGTGCCACCACAGTCACAGATCAGCCAAGACCAGGAAGGTGCCCCAGTGCCAAGATCTCCAGGCACACACCATGATTCAAACCCCAGTCTCCTTGCCTTTCCATGGTGGGGCCAGTCCTCCCCTGGGGACAACTACAAATGGGGGGAGTGACACCTGTGCTCCCTCTGAGGGCTCCTGATTACAGGAGGACCAGAGGTATCAATTATGGCCACCGAAAACATGAAATTATCCTGTGTGCACCCAGCCATTATCCCTACCGCCATTAGATAAATGTCTGGAGGTTCTGCCAAGTCTTTGGGTACCCTCCCCAACCACCCCCACCCCAGGTAACAGGCTGGCCATTTCAGAAATCCACTTCCAAAGGATGCTGCCTCTGCCTGCCACTTGCTCTGACAACCCCTGCAGCAGTCTCTCCTTCCTTCACTTGGAGGGAGAAGGGACAGTCTCTTGAGAGGATGCCCTCGAGGCTGGGCGCCCACAGTGAGCTGTGACCCCAAGTTCACTCCCTCTGTCCACTTTTCCCCAGAGGCAGCTGTGCCCACTGGTGTCTGCACCACAGCCAAGGGCCACACTGCAGTGGGTGGCAATTCAGGCTTAGGGGAAAGCACGCTGGAGTCTGGAAGCCTTGGGTTCGAATCCCTGCCACTTGCCTGAGCTGGGATCACTGAAACCCGGCCAGCCCACAGCCCACCCAAATAGAGTGCCAAGCCCTCTGCTGAGGAATGCAGGGCTCAGCCCTCCCTCTCCAGGCCGCCCTCAGGAGGCTGTCAGAGGGTAGCGCTCGGGACACTCCCCCAGCCAAGGCCTCACAGCTCCGGGTCTCAGTTTCCCTCTGAGCACAGGCAGGGCTGGATTGCAGCGACGTGGGATTTTCCAGCGCCGCACAGACGCTGTCAGATCCCGGTGAGTGGGTGCGGCAGGAGAGGCAGGGCTGAGACGCGCAGGGCTGAGAGATGGAAGGATGACCCGCAGGGACAGAGCCAGGACTGACACACATACGGCTCCAGGTCCCCAAATCTGCCGCGGTGAACCCGGAGCGCTCAGGGTCGGCCTGACGCCCCCACCCAGGCGCTGCGGGAACCCCGCAGGGGCGGAGTCCCCGGCTGCAAAGCTCCGCCTGCCATCACACCCCGTGCCTAGGACTGCGGTGACCCAGGGCCCCTCATTGGGACCCAGGCCCCTTTCCGAAGCCCGGAACAACCTGGGACCCCCTCCCCCATAAGAAGCGAGGAGTGGCGCTTGCCAGACAGCCCTGAGCAGCCACCCCGGCTGGCGCGGTGGGACCGAACCCCGGTGAGCGCCATGGAGCTCCGCGCCCGGGGCGCAGGGACAGGGGGCTGCGCGCCAGCCCCTCCAGGCTGCGAACCCTGGAGCAAAAGTTGGGTGGAGCCCCTGGGCTATTTCCACCGAGCTGCAGGTGCAGCCTCTGAAAGCCACCCAGCCCTCGTGGCAAGGGGATTGCAGCTCAGGACCCGCGGATTCCCGCGTCGCCGGCACTCACCTGCACTCATGTCAGCGGCCGTTCCGGGCCCAGTGGTCCCGGCGCTGCTACAGCCCGACGCCCGGGCCGGCAGGTGCGGCGCTCGCGGGATCCTCGGTGCGCCTGCGGCCGCCGGCTCCCGCACAGTCGGCGCCCGCCCGGCAACGCCGCCGCAGCCCCTGGGCGTCGGCCCCGCCCCTCTGTCCGCCCCGCCCCGCCCACCCGGGAGGCCCCGCCTCCTGCCGTGCCGCGGGCGGGGCGCACCCTGGGAAGTGTAGGCACTGCGCCCCTGCCGCCTGCCAGGGCGACGAGGCGGCCGGACTTGCCGACTACAACTCCCAGCAGGCTCCTTGGCCCGCACAGGCGCAGACCGGCGACAGCATTTCTAGGGCTTTGCGGAGATGTCACCGCGGCGAGGGGAGGTACCTGGTACGGCGGAATCTAGCGCAGGGAAACGCGAGCTTGGAGCAGATCCTCTGGAGAGATGGAAAGCCTCCAGACCAGCCCTTCCTTTTTACCAATGCACAGAAAGGGGAGACCGAGATGGGGGAGGCGGGGCAGGAGCAGGATTTCAAGGCGCACGCACACACCCGGCGAGGTCTGAATGGGTTGCAGTTTGGTGCAGGTGTCCTGACTCCCAGGCTAGGCTGTTGGCCACTCGCCACACGCCCCAGGTGTCGGTGTTAAAGCTAGATAGGGCGGTGCACACAGAGGAGCCGCTGGCACATCCTGCGCTGTATCCAACATGTGACGTCAGGCGCCCAGTACGGGGAGTGGAATCGTGGAAGGGAGGGGGAGTCTGGAATGGGGAGACACAGGTGGATCCCGCCCTGTGCCCGCTGCAACAAGTGGGCCACGGAGAGAAGACAGGCCGAACAAGGGGGAAAGCATGGTGCGCAGGGCCCAGAGCATGCAGGACCTGGCACTGCGTGGAGAGGCACAGGCCAGGGACGTTCGGCCTGAGTCAGGGCTGTGCCCAAATGGATTACTGAGGCAGGAGCATAAATTCCTGTGCAGCGCTCAGTAACATCATCTACTTCAAAGGGGGCCAGGAGTCCAGAGGCTCCCACGGAGAGCTGAAGGCCTGGGGGACCAGCGCAGTCCCCCACACCTTGGAAACCAGGAGACCCCGCCTGGCGCCTGAGCCTGCAGCAGCCAGTGCCAATCCTGGGATCCCTTGCCCAGAACACAGGTGTTGTAGGACGGGTCACCAGAAAGGGGATCATGTGTTCTGCTCCCATCCCAACTCCCCTTCTCAAGCCAACCCTGAGCAAGTCCATCTATTTGTGAGGATCACAGGCCTTGCTGGAATGTAGCTGGGAGCAGTCCTGGTGGGCACAGCATGGAGGTGGTCCTGGGCCTGTCTGTTAATGGGAACTGGCCTCTACCTGTTCCTGCAAGGTGTTTTGACTCTGCCTACATCCATCACTAGATTTAAGGAAAGTCCCCATCTTTTAGAATTTCTGAGGCTCCTGTGAGCTCATGACTGTTTGTCCCAGGGTCAGCTCCTGCAAGGTGTTTTGACTCTGCCTACATCCATCACTAGATTTAAGGAAAATCCCCATCTTTTAGAATTTCTGAGGCTCCTGTGAGCTCATGACTGCTTGTCCCAGGGTCAGTTGAGACCCGGGTGTGTTCTGTGTTATGCCATGGGTACTACTCCCATAGGCATGAAATAGGCAAATATTTGTTGAGGAGGTGGGGGAAAGCAGGCAGGATACCTACCCAGCAGAGGAACAGCTCCTTGAGATCCTCCAACTTCCCCCAGTCCCCTACCTAGAGCCAAAGCACCAGCCCCACCTCCCATTTCCACGAGTTCCTAAGGACCTTTGGGGTGAATGGCTATGATTTCTTCTCCTCCGGTGCAGACCATTGTCACTTGGAGAAGCCCTGCAAGTCAGGCAGTCTGTGCTGTGGGCTGGTCTCAGAGTTCAGCATGTTGTGGCCTCTGGGATCCCAGAGGATCTGGCATGCTCCTCTGAGTCTGCACCTTCCAACAGGCAGGGGCTGGGGATTGTAGCAGCTCTCAACCTCGGAGGACCTCAGGGGTGAATGATCTAGCACAAGGGCAGGAATGAAGACCCATTGGTCCTTCCCAAGTCATGGAGCAAGTTGGTAGCCAGGGTAGGGGCTGACCCAGCCATGTCTTGTGCCTGCATGGAGCCCCACAGAGCTGTACCTCAGGGAATTTGACTTGTAGCAAATCACTCAATTTGAATAGATTTTATTCTGCATTTGCAGAGCTGTGACCCACATGGTATCTCGGCCACTCGCTCACTTCTTCTGTGCCTCTGTTTCCTCACTCTCCATGTCACAGTGCCTACCCCTGGGCTAAATGACTAATAGAACTAAAACCTTTCAAAGTGGCTGACCAAGAAATAGTTATGACGGAGTGGCTGAAACAGACCAGAGGAGGTGTGGGCAACCACCCCAAGGATCATGTAGTTCACATGCGTTCTTTCATTCTTCTTTCGACAGTGACTTCTGGAAAACCAAGCAAGAATGTTTTTGTCCCCCAGTCACACGATTCCTTATTTCAAAGTCCTGAGGCTGCTGTTTGAACAGCCTGGCCAGAGAGGGTACCAGAGACCTCAGAGGAAGCTTTTGGACACAGAAAGCGCTCTGTGCTCTAACAGATAGATCATGACCCTATCACTGTCCACTGAGACTCTCCAAGGCAGAGCTGTGCCTCTGTGGATGCAGAAGTGAGAGAGCCCCACCCGACTCCTTTTCTACTCAGCTCACCCATGTACCACCCAGAAATACCCTGCCTGTCTCTTGCCTCCTCCCAGCAAGCAGGATGGAGGTCCTTGAGGGCCCCTGACACTCCAAGGTCTTAACAGGTATCTCTTGTCAGTCCTTGTCTCTTTCCCCTGGGGGGTCTTCTCAAGCCCAGCCCTGTCCTTTTAGCTCCAGCCCACCCTGGCTGCACAAACCTCTACCCTTTTCTTCCTGCTTGAGGTGGCCATGTCTAATTTGGTCCATGGCCTTCAGCAGAGCCATGGAGGTCCCCTACAGCATTGGAGAAGGTACTGTGTGTAAATGTGGCCCCTCCAATGTACTTGTATTACAAACCACCCAACACACAAATGTGGATGGTATTTGGATTTGGGGAATTGGGAGTAATCAGGGCTAGATGAGGTTATAAGGGTGGGTGTTAGGGTTTGAATTTTAAATGTCCTGCCACATTTGGTCAACTGGTGCATAACCCTTAAATTAAATGAGGAATACAAATAAAACCTTCCAAAGCCTCCTGTCTGGGAAGGCCATGGATCTTTTAAGAGGAAGGGCCTCTGGAATGTGGCTCATTGGAATGTGGGCTTCGAGGTTGCTAACCCTCTGCTTTGTGGTCCACTGAGGTGTGAGGAGTTGGAGTTACATACTCTACTGCCATGAGCTCCAACATGCCCTTCCTGCCATGGTGTCCTGTACCTTCTCACACCGTGAAGCAAAATAAACCTCTCCTCCCTCAGGTTGCTTCTAGTCAAGTATTGAGTCACAGTAAGAGGAAAACTAGCAAGTACAGCTAACACCCCACACACACACCTTGTCATTAGAGGCCTTACAAGAAGAGCCGGACCCCTAACCACCAGCTTGCTCTGGTTCACCATGACGATGCCTTTGCCATGTTGCAATGCAACATGAGGCTTCAGCAGATACCAGCACCACATTCTTGAACTTGCAGCCTTCAGAACCATAAGCCAAACAAATCTCTATTTTTTGGTAGCCCAACTGGCTCAGGTGAGTTGTCATGGCAACAGGGTGTGAGCCAGGACCCAGGAAGCAACTTGGCCACTCTCTTGCTTTGGAGAAGCCAGGGTCAGGGTTAGACTTCCCAAGGCACCAAGGAAGGGGTAGGATAGGGTCCATCCCCTGGGCCCTGCTAGCATCTTCAGGGTGCATCGCTGCCCCACAGCCTTCCAGGGATAATCTGTCTGCAAGCCGCATGCTGCCTCTCATGGGATCTGCCTTCTTTAGGATCAGTAAGCACTTAGAGAAAAGATCATCCACCTCCCCCTGTGTACCAGCCTGATGCTCTCCTAACTTGGAGCCCAGGCTCTTGGGGGAGAAGTGTGGTGTTATCAAGCCAGTATGTTGGAGTTGCTGGGCCACTCAGAGTCATGCCCAGTGCCAGAAAGAAGGTGACAGGGTGCACAGGAGACAGGAGAAGATGGTCAGAGGACTCTTGGGGTGGGGCCTAGGGATACCCAAGGGGGCCATGTCACCCCTTTCTGAGAGTATCCTAACCGTTGATTATAGGATGTAGGTTACTATGGTGATGAGAGGTGGAACAATAGAAGACAGCCCCAGACCCATGGTTGAGTGAGCCCCAAGCATCCCGAGATAAACCCTGCTTTCCTGTGGGCTCCAGGTTATAAACTTGGAATTTGTTCCTGGGCGCTTGAAGGCAAATGGTAAAGAACACAAACGCAATCAGCACTTACGTTTCTACACGGTCTAAGCCAGCTGGTCTTCCTTAGCTACCTGCGCTGTGGCTAAGGATAAAGAGCAACGTCCAGGGGACAAGCCCAGGCCCCCACCAGGCTGCACGGCCTTTGCATTGCTTCACAATGGAGACTGTGTTGAAAGTGCTCACTCCCCTTTGGAGGGAACCAGATCTCCCGGAGTACAGAAGGATGTGGGGGCAGGACCCCACTGCAGGCCTCACGGGGACAGCAGGAGGTATGAAGCTGCATCCAGGGGCTGAACCAGACAAGACAGTTACCACCAAGGCTGCCATGTCTTGGTGCCAGATCCCATGGTTTATAAGCATCATCTCAAAAAGGCTGTCATTGCCATCACCATCACTACCACTTTATAGACAGGGGAACTGAGGCATTAGCTATTATTCAGTGAAGCAGCTACAACAAACCAGACCCTGAGAGAGAGGGAGAGGGAGAGGGAGAGGGAGAGGGAGGGGGAGAGGGAGAGGAGAGGGAGGAGAGAGAGAGAGAGAGAGAGAGAGAGAGAGAGAGAGAGGCCTGAGTCTGTTGTTGCCTACAAAAGACATTAGGATCCAGGGGCTAAACGTGAAGTACAAGGTCAAGATGGGTCCTGCCCCACTGGACCTTGCCATGCCATGCCCAGCACAGGCTCACCCTCTGGGCTCTAGTTGAATGTCTTTGGAGCAGCTGCTCCTGAACCCT